CTCTATTTCATATCCTGGAATTTGATAATGCAAATTGCCGGGCTGCGTGAGGTTTCCCGGGTTGACCTGGTATGAAGCACGCTACTGGCCCCTGGGGAGATTATCTCCGTGCCCGGGGATATGGAAAGTGGGCGGTGCCCCACGATGGTGCCGGGGCGAGGCAGAGAGAGAGAAAAACAGGAGTCTCGGGTCGCCTCATTTCCTGGAGCGAGATTCCTCTGACTGGAAGCTGAGCCCTCCAAGAACCTTGATGAAGGACAGGGCCTATTCCGGTGGGAGATTTGATGCAGAGATAAGGTGAGCAGGAGCGACGTCTCCGGTCCCCAGTTCTCTGCGAGCTGAACTCCCAGCTTCTCAGGAAAAATTCTTCTGAACTGGGAGTGTGGGAGCCGGCGTCTGATCTGCCTGGGTCTGAATTCCAGATCCACTTCCCGTGTCACGTGGGCACCGACACCCGGGTCTGAATTCCAGGTCCACTTCCCGCGTCACGTGGGCACCGACACCCGGGTCTCAATTCCAGGTCCACTTCCCGCCCGGGTCTGAATTCCAGTCCCACTTCCCGTGTCACGTGGGCACTGACACCCGGGTCTGAATTCCAGGCCCACTTCCCGTGTCACGTGGGCGTGATGATGGAGGTTGTAGGCCGACTGACGGAGTGAGCACTTGTGTTCAGGATCCCTACACCTCCTCTCAGAGATGGACCTTGACCAGGGCAAAGATCCTTGTGACTCACACAGGGGCCACAGGCAAAGGTGACGTGGCAGGGACACCTGTTGAACCTGAGGCAACAGGAGACCGCGCTGGCCACGGAGGCGGGGCCTGGAAGCTCACCTCCTCGGTCTGGTCGCCGCTCTCGTGGAGCCTGACCGTCCTCCTGGAAACCCCCTGCTGAGCTGGATCTTTGCAAGGCCTCAGTGACCTGTCCAGTGGGCCAAATACTCCTGTAGGCTCGGAGCTTTGGGCCCTGGCAAGCAGCTTCATAGTCCACGGATGGCCATGCAGCCATGTACAGCCACACACATGCATGTACGGCCACACGCACCCATGTATGGCCACCAATAGCCGTGTCTGCGTATCCACGTGCCCACACCCGTTCCCAAGCAGTCACAGCCACCAGCAGCCGCATCTCCCCCTGCGCCCCAGTTGCTTATATGGGTTCACAGGTCCAGAGTGGAGCTGTTACAGGACAGGGCTCTGGGCAAGCCAGCTCAGTGGGTGGGCCTGTCGGCTACCATGACACTGGTTACCGTGGACACCAGGCACCGGCGGGACACTTGACCACTCACCTGCCTGGTTCATCCCCTCGACAGCCCACACATTGTTCACACTGATGGGGAAGCAGACTCCTGCACGGCAGACAGGGGCCAGCCCCCCCCCCACTACCTGGAGGGAAGAAGACTCTAGAAAGCCGCTTCCTTGAGGCATGCTGATGTCCCAAGCCGGTCCTTTTCATCAAGGTTTCCTGGGGTAATTGATCCAGGTCATGGGAACCCTGGTCTTGGGGGAGTTTCCCGTGTGTTCTGTGGAGTCTTGATTGGAACCATCAGCCCATGAACCAATCAAGCTGTCCAGGGACCAGCCAATCAGGAGCGCTTCCTGTTTTACAGTCAGCCTTGATGCCCCCTCCTGCAGGGACCCCTCTGGGTGCCGCTGGGAGTCTTTGGCTTTGCTTCCCTTGGGACCCCTCTCGGTGCTGCCGAGTTTTCCCCTCCTTTTCGTTTTGTGCTGCGTGCACCCTCCTTGTCCGTGCTGCTTACTCATCCTGGACACAGATGAGAACCGGCAGAGAAAACAGCGGTGATAACCGCGGATGCCGGCAACCCCCGGGGCCCACCCAGGATGCCGGCAGACGAGTGGAGGGATCTCTTCACTGCCTTTCTCTCTCTTCTCAAGATTCCCGTTCTCCCTCACAGTCAACCAACAAACTGGAAACACGGGGACTCCCAGCCGGTTACGTGCCGTTAGCGCAGGTGCTGGCCATAGACAGAGCGCGCAGGCTTCGGGGCAGACTTGACGAGTTGCCCTCCGCCTTTTGGCACGGAGGATGTTGGCGCTGTTCTGCCTCGGTTTCCTTTCGGGGAAGCGTCTGCCCTCCTGGTTTCCGCTGCTTCCTGCCCTTCCTCACCCATCCTCTCCGTCAGGAAGGGGAAGGCTTCCCCACTTGGCTCCCAGGAGCGAGGCCCTCAGCCATTGACCCTCTCCGACTTGATGAACAACTTTCTCCCTTCTCTGCGCTTTACGTTGTGTTGATTTTTCTTTCTTCAGCTCTGGACAATAGGACTATCTGATTTTCCATTGCTTAGGAGAACTGAGTCTTAAAGAAATTAGTATTATCGATATTTTTGATTGATTACCACAACTCTGATTAGATCTGGCCAGTAGCTTTCGTGGAGATAGTCGGGCTAAGTGGATTATTACATTTCCTTTGACCAGGTGGCTTCCTCTCTAATAGTTCTTCAGGTTTAAGGCTGTGAACTGTCTTTTGACCTTGGGGCTTCTATCTGGATCCCTGGAACTCTCAAATGATAATGCTCTCAATTGGGAAAGACGGTGACTGTTGGAGTTCATTTACATGGTGCAGAAGACGTTGCCGGGTCATAAAGCGATGCCAGACTCGAGTCGTGTCTATGTAAAGGTGTGAGGTTTTGTGCTCTGCAGTTAATGGGATGCAGCTCCAGGGCAGACCCGTCCCTCAAAGCTTTGATTTGGATGGCTGGTCCTGCGTGTTGTGTTGGTTGTGTGATGATGGGGGGTGGGGGCTCTGGACCCGCTCTCCCTCATGCCGTCTTTTGCTCATGCAGCACTGGGTCAGTGCTGTGAGACAGAGCTGGCTGCCCTGTTCCACCACCCCACCGTGTTTGCTCACCCCACTCCCCCATCTTGTACACCCTTGTGGTGGAATGAGAAGGCCATGCCAAGATGGCAGCTGGCAATGGAGCCTGCCTGGCAACAGGCTGTGAATGGATGGCTTTGGAAACTGCCTGGCAACGGGCTGTGATTGGTTAGGACATAGACCGCCCCTTAACCCAATTGGCCACCTTGGCTATATAAGCAGCTGTAGCAACTGAAATAAAAGAGTCTGCAGGCTGCTCGCCTCAGGCCTGCCTTCACCCAACTCCCGACTCCCGGGGTCTGTGTGGTGACTCCATGTCTCTTGCCCTCACCACACTCCTCCTCTCAGAACGAATCCACAGCAACACATCCTGGCACTAAATGTCGAACCCCTGGTGGTGGAGGGTGTCGCCCTCAGTGTAGGGGGCAGGACGATGCCCTGGGCGGGGTGCTCACATCAGAAACTCCCTATCTCCTGGCTCTGGGGGCCCAGGCATCTTCATCACTCGCTCAGCTTCAGGGGAAACCAGGAGGAGACCCAATGAGAGAGAAGGGATAAGAAGGAGGGTACAGCGCTGGCAGCGGCTGTGTGGCCCTACCGACCTGAGGGTGCCCAGGAGTCTCCAAAGTGCCATGGCCGTGGCCAGGCAGGGCACTTCCGGAAGGAATGTCCACATCTCCGTCACCAGAGAAGACCCCATGGCCCTGTCCCTTTGGGGCGAGGGTCATCAGAGGGTTGGCTGCCCCCAGCACCGGGGCCTCTGGGGTCAGGGTCCAGGCCGCCTTTACCCCAACAGGACCGAAGGGGCTGGGGCTCCTCCTGGGGGCCCCCACCACCCAGACCATGAGCGCTGGGTAGCCTGGGCAGCTCTGACTGCCTTTTCTCCTCTTCTTTCAAATGCGAGTCTCCCCTCTCCCATAGTGTGGCTGTGAGAGGCGTCTCAGGAAAGCCTTTAGTGGGCTCTTTCCCCCAGCCCCTGAGCTGGAACTGGGACCCCTAGTTCTGTCACACCTGCCTTCCTGGTCATACCAGAGACCCCAACGCCCCTCCTAGGGAGAGATCTCAGCCTGGGTGGCGAGCACCAGCCTCATGGCTCCAGAGCGATGGTTTTGCCTTCCCTCGGTTGAGACGGGTACTAACGCAGAGGTCTGGGCAGCTCGGGGAAAGATTGGCTGAGCAGTCATGGACTCATCCGAAGGACCCGTGCTTACGGGATCAAAAACAACGTCCCTTCAACCAAAGCCCTGGCGAGGGTCAGAAGTCCTAACACATTTTTAAAGCCATGCTCTATCCCCTGCAACACTCCAGCGTCTAGGACCAGTGGAGAGGGAGAACCTGGACAAAGAGGGAAAAGAAACGGGAGGGAAACCAAGGTAATGAGTGTCACTGAAGCCTGGGGAGCAAAGGCCGTCAAGGCAGTGCCGGCTGTAGCGAAAGCTGCTTTCAAATCCGGCTAAATGAGAACCGCGTGTTTAGCTTCCACACACACACTCTACGTGGATGCGGTTAGAAAACACGGTGCTGTCAAGTTCAAATCACAGGTCAGCCTCAGGGCTTGGGCGGAAGCCTGGGCCTGTGGCCTGAGCGGGCTCCTGAGATGCGAAGGTTCTGACCCCCAAAGTCCCTCGGTATGGACTTCCTGGGAGCCCACCACGTGACCACGTCCCCTCCTCCAAGGCGGCCGTCACTCAGCGGGTCTCGCGGGTGCTCGGCTCCGCTGTGCCATCATAGAAGGTGGAAAAGACAGAGGCGCAATCTCGGGGAAACTCGTGTTCCGGGGTCCTTGTCCTGCCCCAGGCTGAGTGCGTGTCAGAGAGGGCCCTTCGGCTGTGCCACACCACCCTGAATGTGCCCAGTCTCACCTCATCACAGCCGACGTGACAGGCAGTTCCAGGGCTTCCACAGCAGCCCAGCCCCAGGCTGCCTGGGAAACTCCCCTCACTCCAAATCTAACCTTCAGAATGGTCTGTTCTCAAAGGTCTAAGTGTTGCGAGTAGATTTTCTCATTTACTTCTTAGGAAGGGCAGACAGAAAGGGCTGGCTCCCATTTGCTGGTTCACTCCCCAAAAGCCAACAGCCAGGGCTGGGCCAAGCTGAAGCCGGAACCAGGAACGCCACCTGAGTCCCCGAGTGAGCAGCGGAGCCCTCGCTGCTGCCTCCCCATTCGCACATCAGCAGGAAGCTGGATGGGAAGTGGAGCAGGGACTCAGACCCTCCGATGTGGGATGTGGGCCCCCCAGCATCTTAACCCCTGTCTGATAGACTGTCAGAGTCCTTATCCCTGGGCTCGCGGGGGCAACCCTCCCGACTGCCAAGCACTCGCTATATCCATTCTGCATGCCGCGTTCCTTTGGGAACCTAACGAAAGCTGTGAAAAAATGCACACCCGTGGGTCAGGCTCACCGCTAGGGCCAGCTCCCCCACACGCATTTCAGGAACAATGTGACGTCTTTAGGACCCTGGTTGACACACAGTTCTCCCAGGAGACCTGGAACATCCTGGCTAAAATTCCCATAGTGCCAGAGGCCTCCTGGGCAGCCTCCAGGGCTCTAAGCAAGGGTGTGTGTGTGTGTGTGTGTGTGTGTGTGTGATGCTGTTATTTCCAATTGAACCAAGAATTTGCTCAAGAAAGCACTCGCCACAAGGCGAGGCAGTGCCCTGGCGCTGAGGTTGGAGCAGTAGGCTGGGTGCTGTGGCTCCTGCTCGGACAGAGGCCTGGTTTCTGAAGTCCTGGAACACGGACGGGGCATGTCCATGTTCATGTCCATGCCCTCCATGGAACCGGTGTCCCAGCCATGTGTCCCCCAGGCAGTGGTGAGTGGTGGTCCCAGGAGGGACAGGGAGGGCAGCAGAGGTGGCTGGGGCAGGGGGAGAGGGGAAGGGTACAGGACTGTGCAGGTGTGTGGTCAGGGCCTCCTCCCTTCACCTGTAGGGTGGGGCAGGAAATCTGTGAATGATGCTATAAATACCCAAGTGGCCCTGGGCAGGAACAGGGTTCCCCACCCCCGCCATTACTGGGAGGACACCTGGCGCCGCTCCCCAGGAACCACCCACGGAGCAGGTGCAGGAGCCGCAGTGTTCCTCACGCGTGGCCAAGGCGTGCCACACTGAGCAAATGGGATGAAGGCCCAGGGAGGCAGAGCTGCCCATCACTCACGGGAGCATTCGTTCAACAAACATTTATTAAGCGCCTACAGTGTGCAAGGCCTGGGGACAGGAACTGGGTGACGTTTGGTTCCCGCCTCCCAGGAGCTCATGGCTTTGGGGCAGACAGCGCACACGAATGATGACCCGCTCAAGGGTGCAGGCGAGGTGCGACCGGGCGCTGGGCCCCCCTGGCAGGTCCCCTCTGATGCTGCCTACAGGGGCAGCCTCTGCTCCCCCAGGACAACCCCCACCCTGTGCTGGGGGTCCCTGCCTGCTGAGGCCGCCGCTCCCCGCTCCGGGGCGATGAAGGGCTGGCCCCGCGGGAGCCTGGCGGCCTCGGCCGTCAGCAGGAACATCGCCGAGTGGTCTGTGAGCTGCCTCCCTTCCCTCGCTGACACTGTCCGCTGTCCGCTGTCCGCTGTCCGGAGCGCCCGCCCGCCCGCCCGCTCAGAGCCGCCGCACCAGCTCGATGAGCTGCTGGATGTTCTTGTTCTGGTTGGAGAGGCCATTCCTGACGTTTTCCAGGAGGCACCTCTTCAGTTCGAAGATGGCCTCGCTGTAGGCCAGGCTCACGGCGGCCATGGGTGGCACCCCGTGCCACAGGCTGGGGATGTGCCAGACGTGCTGCCGCTCGGGGTCACAGAAGGCCAGGCCGGCCAGCACGCGGAAGCCGCCGCCCTGCTTCTCCATCTGGGCGGCGGCCCTGCCCAGCTCGCCGGGCGCCTCCAGCAGCGGCCTCCGGTCTCGGGGCTTGGGGCTGGAGGCGGGCAGGTCGTGAAGGTTCTGGTATACGAACTGGCAGTTGGGCACGTGGCCTGTCTTCTCCAACCTCAGGAAGGCGTGCAGGACGGCGGCCGGGATGTCCTTCGTCTCGGCCAGACTGACCACGGTCACGTTGCTCAGCCCCATGAGCAGAGTGGCCAAGGAGGCCTCGAGCTCAAACCTGTCCCCGGCTGAGGCCGGGGCCCCGCCGATCAGTGCCCCTGAGTCTATGGCCAGGATGTGGTCGCAGCCCAGGTCCTGGCTGAAGCCCTCGGCCACCGTCAGGAGCTGCATGAAGGCGCCCCGTGGGCTGCAGCTCCTGCCCGTGGCAAAGCGCAGCCCGAACATGGTGTTGAGGAGGGTGGACTTCCCGGTGCCCGGCACCCCCAGGGCGGACACCACCACCAGCCTCGACCTCCTGTCCAGGCGCGCGTGCAGCTCCTTGAGCAGCCCCGTGACCCAGCGCGCAGGGATGCTGAGCGTGCTCCCGTCCACCAGCTCCAGGGGCAGCCCGGTCAGCAGCAGCTCCACGGCCAGGCCGGGGAAGTGTGCAAAGCGCCGGTGGCCGGCGGGCAGCCGCCCAGCCTCCACCAGGCAGCTCTCGGCCTCGTAGCACTGCCCGATCTCCCGCAGGAAGTGCTCCACCCCCAGGGGCTCGGGCCGCGGAGGCTCGCCCAGCTCCGAGGCCCCGCGCTTGGGCCGCAGCGCGAGCAGCGCGTCCGGGGGCTGCCTGGGCCGCGGCTGACCCAGCCGGGCCAGCCCCCACTCGAGCCAGCGCAGGAAGTACTGCCTCTCCCGGGGGCACGGGCTGCTGATGCCGGCCACGAACTCCTGCACGCCGGCCGCGGGCTCCAGGCTGTTCTGCTGCGCGCGCAGCTCCAGCACGCGCCGCCGCAGCTCGGCGCGCGGCTTCTCGGGCGGCTCGGGCGCCCACTGCAGCTGGCACAGCTCGCGCTCGGCCTGCGCCGCCTTCCTGCCCGGCTCCCCCTGCAGCCTGAGCTCGTCCCGCCGGTAGGCGTCCACGTCCTTGATCTTCCGGGTGATCCTCTCCATGCGGTCCCTCCCCTTCTGGCACGCGTCGCAGTCCTCGTCCACGCGGAGCCCCAGCTTGCGGGCGGCCTGCGCCATGTCCTCCACCGACACCCGCCTGCAGGGGGCGCGCGCCACGCCGCGCAGGATGGCGCGGACCCTGCGCACGAAGCCCTCGCCGTCCGTGCTGCTGACCTTGACGAGCACGTGCGACGGGTCCATGTTGAGCGCGGGGATGAGCCTGTTGAGGAAGCGCAGGTTGGCGTTGCGCTTGCCCCGGTAGGGGCTCAGGATGAAGTAGTACCTGGTGCTGGACTCCCGCATGGAGTAGAGCAGCTTGTACGCCTTCTTGCTGACGTTGTCCGTCAGGATGAACACGGCCGACGAGACCTCGGTCAGCAGCTTGAACTGCAGCCAGTGGGAGCCGATGTCCCCCCGGAGGTTGAGAAAGGCCACGGGCTCCGGGAAGACGTCCAGGTCCTCGCTGCCACTGGGGAAGAACCAGGAGATCTCCACCAGGCCGTCGGCGATCTCCCGGGCGCCGGTGCCCAGGCCGAGGTCCCGGTGCCAGAAGCAGTCCCAGTGCCGGCGGCCGGGGCTCAGGATGGCGTTCAGCAGCTGGGACTTGGAGTTGCTGCTGACGTCCATGCGCACGAAGGCGAAGGCCGGCGCCCTGGGCAGCACCACGCTGTCCTCCCGGAGGCTGCCGAGGCCCCGCGGGGGCTGGGACCACCACGTCCGCACCACGCCCCGCAGGGCCCACAGCAGGAAGGTGTGGTCGTGGTTCTCCGAGTCCGGCAGCACGAGCGGCAGCGCGAACTGGCAGAGGGCCATCTTGAACAGCACCTCCTGCTGCAGGCTGCCGTCCGAGCAGAGCAGGAGCGCGCAGAGCAGGTCCAGGGGGTTCACGGGCGTGTCGGGCGTGGGCAGCTCCGAGAAGGAGTAGATGTCGTCGGCCGCCGCGTCCTCGGCCGGGTCCCAGTAGATGATCCCCTCCTCCATCTGGCTCTCCTTCTCGGCGGGCCGGGCGTCGGCGGGCAGGTCGAGCACCATGGTGGTGTTCCTGGCCTCGGCGTTGAGGGCCTGCAGCTTCCTCAGGAAGTGCCAGGGCAGGTCCTTGGGCACCTGCGGGGCCCAGTTCTTCATGCTGTCGGAACTGATCTGGAGGGAGTCCTGCAGGCTGAGCTTCTGCGCCTGGTACGCCTCCAGCCCCAGGAGGGACAGCATCTCCTGCAGCCTGCTCCGCTCCGCTGCGGAGAGAAACGGGCGTGAGACAGGGCCGGGAGGGGCTGGCCAGGCGAGCGGGACACAGGCAGGCAAGAGCGGGGTGTGCCCAGCATAGCCGGGAGTCGGGGCCGGGAGGGGCTGGCTGGGCAAGTGGGACACAGGCAGGTGAGGCGCGGGGTGTGCCCAGCATAGCCGGAGTCAGGGCCCGGAGGGGCTGGCCAGGCGAGCAGGAGTCAGGGCCGGGAGGGGCTGGCCAGATGAGCAGGACACAGGCAGGTGAGGTGCAGGGTGTGCCCAGCGGGGCCGGAGGTCAAAGCAGCAGGGGGACCCCAGTAACAGAGATGTTGCAGCATTTAGATCTCGGGGTTCTCCCCAAACCTACAAGTGCCAATGATACCACACTCTAAACTGCCCGGCTCTGCGCTGGGTGAGGCCCCAGACCAGGCCACAGCCCATGCCCAGAGGGGTCCCGGGGCTCCCCAGGGCTCACCCCACAAGGGAGCCCAGCCCTGGGTTCCCTCGGTGTCATCAGGAAGTTCCCCTGAGGTGACACAATCAGGGATTCACTCTCCAGCTGTCTGGCTCACATTCTTGGCTCTTTGTAAACACACTGGAATGTTTTAAAGGAAAACAGGAGGATGTGAGGCACAGAAGCCACAGCACACGCTAACTAACCGTCCGGTGAATCTGAAACCGACAACGCGGTCTTACTTTCAACTGTGTGAAAGCATTGGGCACGTTTACTTCTGCAGATGTTCAAGTGGCACCGTGCACAATAAAAATCTTGGCGAGATGCTTGCGAGGGCACTGGCCATCCCGGGGTCCCCCCACCACCCCAGGTCTTGCTGGCATCTCGTCAAGGCTCCCACCACACGGAGCTGGTCCGCTGGGAAAGCTAGCATGCAAAGTGATGAATGGACATTGCCCTGGGCTGCAGGCTGCACTCCAGGTCCTCGCTGGAGAGAGCCACGTGCCCGATGCCACCGGATGCTCCAGGAAACCCAGACGAGAAAGGCAGCTGAGCTGGCCCTTCTCCCACTTCTCAAGGAAGGAAGTGATGGGCTTACAACCCAGCCCCACTCAGGACAGAGAGCTGTGAGCCCACAGCAGAAGCACAAGCGCACCGAAGCCATCGTGCGGCAGGAATCCTTCCCGGGAGTCTCCGGGTTCCCCGTTCCGCCTCGGCGAAGCCAGGGCCTGGTTTTCTTGTCCAGACGCGGAGAATGGCCTTAACTGTGTGAGCAGCACCGCGGTAGATGGCTGTGGGGCTCAGAACCTGCTTTCACCAGTGCTTGTAGCCCTCCACTGGCAACCTGCACAGTGAGCCCCGGACCACAGGCACGGCTTCAGGTACTTGTTAGAAAGGAAAGCTCCTGGGCTCGCCTGCAGACACCAGAGCCCAGGGCAGTGGGTACCTCTCGGGAGGCTGCTCACTCTCTGTGTCTCGCTCTCCCCAGGCATTTTTTTTAAATGTTGTTAATTATGCATAAAAGGGTAATGACCCAGGCACTGGATGCAGCCAGGTGAGGGACCACCAGCCCAGGTGCTGTGCCCTCCAGCAGCACAGGAGGCTACAGCAAAGCGAAAGAGAGGAAATGACGACGCCTTACCTGCTGGAAAGTCATTGTCCTGAGCCTCATTCGGACCATCTGCAGGGAGAGCAAAGGCAAAGCAAGCGTCAGGCAAATAGCCTGCCTCTGACTGACACAAGGCACTGCCAGCTGCACCAGGAAGAACCCTCCTCCTCACTAAGATGACAACCTCTCCCAGCTGTTCCCGGGGAGGTGCGGCGGCCCTTGCTTGTGTACCCATATCCCATACCAGAGTACCAGTCCAGGTCTTGGTTCCTCTGCAGCTTTTCTGTTTGCTTTTAAAGATTTATTTATCGACTTGAAAGGCAGTTGTAGAGAGGGAGACCAAGAGATCTTCCATCTCCTGGGTCACTTCCCAAATGACCACAATGGCCAGGGCTGGGCCAGGCCAAAGCCAGGAGCCTAGAACTCCAGCCTGGTCTCCCTCGTGGGGGCCCAAGTACTCAGACCATTAGCTGGAAGCCGGAATGTACTGGAAGTGGAGCAGCCAGGACTTGAACCGGTTGCCGGTATGGGATGCCTGCGTTGCAGGTGGCAGCTTAACCTGCTGAGCCACAGTGCTGGTCACCTTCCCCCCACCTGGCTCCCCTACTTCTGACTCAGCTTCCTCCCAATGCGCCTGGGAGTCAGTGGACAATGGCCCACATGCTCCCCTGCCTCCCACGTGGGAGACCCAGATGGAGTTCCGGGCTCCTGGCTTCAGCCTGGCCCAGCCCTGGCATTTGGGGAGAGAACCAGCAGATGGAAGATCTCTCTCTGTGTCTCTTTCAAATAGATAAAAATTAAGTAAATAAACATTAAAATAAATAAATACACAAAATTCCCGTTATCTTTCGCGGTTCCCCTCCCTCTCTTCCCCCAGGCCAGGCTGTGTCGAGCCCTGGAGCTTCTACCTCCGTAGTGGAACCCGCAGTCCTCTCCTTCCATTTGTCTCCATTCCAGATCTAGAAGGAGAAAGTACACACACTCAGTGTCGCCCACAGTCAGAGCTCGGTCGGCTGATAGTCTTAGCGCTGCCAGCTGGGTCTCCTTCTCGGAAATGCTCGGGACCACAGTGCTTTGGGTTTCCAGCGTTTTCAGCTTGGGGAATATCTGCCTCTACCCAGTGAGATACGTCGGGACAGGACCCAAGGCTACACACCAACTCTACTTTTGCTTCATGCACACGCCATACACTCAGCAGGGACTCATCCCACGCACATCCTGAGTGCGGCTACGTTTTGACTTGACCCAGCATGGGGTCCAGGTGCGACTTTCCCACTCGTGACGTCTTGTTGGCACTCAGAAAGCTCTGGGCTCTCAGATAAGGGATGATCCACCTGTCTCATTAGCTTCAGTTTTTCCTATGGAAATTCTTGTTTCCAATACAAAGCCTATCACAAAGTAGTAATCACGACACAGAAGACAGACCTCTGCTAGGATACGCTCTTAGTACAATATACTGAAATCTGTGAAATAAAAATAGGAATAACCACAACATTTACCCAGGCTAACCTTTGATTTTAGAAACTACCTACATGTGAGTTGGTACACGTTCCTAGGCTCAATTTCAAGATTCACTGCCTCCTGGAAAATGTTAGCACTATTCTTAGGAGCTTCTGTAAGCACAACCAGAATATTTTAAAGCTGACTTACTGGACGCGGGGATTTTCGGCTGGTCTAATTATTGACTCAAAGATACAGATGTGAAAATGCAGGCAGCTGTCTAAGCCTTGTTTACCATTGGTGAAGCTGACTTAGCAAGACTCGCTGGAAATCAGAGTGTGAATGAGAACACGCGTGGGGCACCCAGCACACGCCCCTCCCACTGGACAGTTTGCCAGCGAGGCACACTCTGAGTGGAAGTGCAGTTCTAACAGCTGCTTAAAGGCAACATCGCATCACAGGTTTTGGTTCCAGGTTTTTGTTGTTTTGTTTCTGTTTCACGTTTAAAGTAGTTACACTGATGACAGACGATGTTGCTTCTGCCTGCTAAATTCTCCGCATTTCGTGGTCTGCTTTATCTATCTGGGCGCAAAGCCGTTTTTGACTGGTACTGGGACGCTGTCTCTGATTTGTGCCAGCGGCACGGCAAGGCGTCCGTCCAGCCTCCGCTAGGCTGCTCGTCAGCTGTGTGCTGAGTAGCCCCAGGGCTGTAGGAAAGGTGCCGCCACCTTCAAGGTCGTGTTCCTGAAGACAAGCATCCAGGTCTGACAACGTGACCGTCTGCGTCTTCACCAAAGTGCTGTTCGGCAGTGGACACTTAAACTACTTAATGTCATTCAATAAAATGACCAAAATGTGTTGTGCTCTTTACTGCATTTTCAGAGTTTTGGGGGAAAAAATTGTTAAACTAAAAATAATTAAATAATTGTTGGTGAAGATGGGGGAAAACTGGAACCCTCCACTCTTCCGACGGAGATAGAAAATAGCTCGGCTGCTGTGGGAAACGGGCTGGCAGCTCCTGGGAAGCTGAACGTGGGATCCTCGCACAGCGCAGCACCTGCGCCCTGGGGCTGCACGCGGAAGTGGACGGAGAGACTCCAGGCTCGCACAAGCCCATACAGAGCAGCAATACGCACCCCGGCCAAAGGCGGACTTAACCCAACGTGCATCAGCTGAGGTGTGGAGAACAAACTGGAATATTACACAGGCATAACAAGGGACAGCTGGGCTTCGGCTCCAGACACTGTGCTCAGCGAAAGGAGAGAGACACAAGCCGTGCCTGCTGCATGAAATACCCACCGTGGACGGCAGGCGGAGCCCGGGCGCCATTCCTCGCAGGGCCTCGGCCTCTGCGTTCATTGGTGTCCACTAACCCGGGTGCCTGCCCAGTGCCAGTGCGTGCTGAGCGCGCGTTTGTGAGCATGAACGCAACAAATGTGGTTAACCTGGTTTGCTTCATTTTGTGGGTTTGTTTTGTTTCATTCTGTTTAACATTAATATCCAATAGAACATATTCATTTTAAGAAACACCTAATTAATAAAGTTCCAAAATGAGTTACCACTTGCTGGTGTTAAGAGAAATAACATCACATAGGGTGTCACAGTCCCACCACCACCACCCCCACCAAATCCTCAGAGAAAATCCAATGGACATGACTGTGACCGGGAAGTCCCCAGGTCCCTCCCGGCCCCGGACAACCCCTGTGTAACGCCCCCTCGCACTCTCCCAAGAGCCCCGGTTAGAAGATGAGAGAGATACAAGCCAGGATGGCAGTTAAGACACTAATGTTGGGGTTGCATGAGACTGGTAACTGTGTGATAATCACCTATTTAAAACTGAACCCTTGGGGCTGGTGCTATGGCGTAGGGGGTAAAGCTGCCACCTGCAGTGCCGGCATCCCACATGGGCGCCGTTCAAGTCCCAGCTGCTCCACTTCCGATCCACTTCCCTGCTGATGGCCTGGGAAAGCAGCAGAGGATATTCCAAATGCTTGGGCCCCTGCACCCACATGGGAGACCCAGCAGAAGCAACTCCCATCATTGTAGCCATCTGGGGAGTGAGCCAGGGGATGGAGCATCTCTGTCCGTGTGCCTTTCAAATAATATTTTTTTAATCCCATTTTGAATGGATGAGCGATGCCCAAAGGCCCGTAAGATGCAATCCTCTTGTAAAAGAAATCTGACATATAGGAGATCTGCTTGGAGGAGCGCGACCCTCAGCCCGGTGGGGGCAGTTTTACCTGCAGTCGCCACAGCGGCTCGTCTCTCGGGAGCTTTGAGTTCTGATGCCACTTCGCCCAGATCCGAGTGCCTGAAACAAGGCCAGAGAAAGCAATGAAAACTCGAGCTGCCATCGTCACCTCTCAAAGCAGCCGCACACAGAAACCTCTTGGGGAACTCCGAAGAGCTGCAGACCCTGGGCGCTGCCCCCAGGCCCACACAGCCGAGTCTCAGGGGAGAGGTCCCGGGCACCCCTGCTTTCGAAAATGCTCAGCCATTCCAGCGAGCAGCCAGAGCCGGGGACCACGGGCCTGGAGACACCGGTACCCACCCAGGCTGCTGGCCAGAGCCTGGAGACAGCGGCTCAGAGAGAGAGAAGCAGGCACACCCTTTAGCCAGGAATTCTACTTCTGGCCTAAGGCTGCTGCCACCAGCCTTATAGGTAAGAGTGAAAAACAACAGGGCATGTGGTCCTACTCTGGAGGCATCAGCTCATGTTCCGTGAAACGTCAGGGAAAGAGGCTGATGGACAGGGGAGCCGGCTCCCAGAGCTGCGTGTAGGACAGGGCTACGGGGGCAGGTGTGTGGCTCAGCCGGTTCGGCCGCCGCTCAGGACACACAGGAGTGTCTGCACGAGTCCCGCTACTCCGTGCTCCCCACACAGCTTCCTGCCGAGGCACCTGGGAGGCAGCTTGGGTTCCTGACCCCGTGCGGGAGGCCCAGGTGGAGCTCCTGGCTTCGGCCTGGCCGAGCCGGGCTGTTGCCGGCATTCTGGGAGTCAATCGGTGAATGGAAGATCAATGGATCGATCGATCAGTCTCTAGCTCTAGCTCTCTGTTCTCTCTCCCCCCGCCTTTCCTTCCTCTTCCTCCCTTCCTGTCACTTTTCCTTTCTTTTTAAAATATGAGTACAATTTAATAAAATGACAGATATGCATAGGTGTCTATGGAGAAATCAAGGATGTTTATCAACAGAATAGGGAGCAGCGATCCTGAATTCTTCTAAGTAATTTGATGGCTGCAGATCAGTTAAGCATACACTGCTTTAAGGGTGACATTAGTGGCTGAGTCACTGCTGGGGATGCCCTCGTGTCTTCCACAGGAGTGCCGGGTTCAAGTCCCGGCTTCTCTGCTTCCCATCCAGCTTCCTGCTAACGGGCACCCTGGGAGGCAGCAGGTGATGGGTTAAGTACTTGGGTCCCTGCTACCCATGTGGGAGATCTAGATGGAGCTCCTGGCTTCAGTCTGGCCCAGCCCTGGCTGTTGCAAACATCTGGGGAGTGAACCAGTGGATGGAAGAGCTCTCTCCATCTGTCTCTCTCTGCCTTTCAAATAAAAATAAAGAAGAGAATAAGCTATTTTAGGTATATCATGGGAAAGAACAAACAAGTATTCATTTCTGTCGAATGCCAGGTTATTGTTGGGAATGGTGGCTTCCACATGCATGTTCATGCAAACGTGTGCGCAGGCATGTTTCTCTGTGTGTAAACATGTACTCACACATCCACTTCCTAGCTCTGTCCACAGAATGGGTCAAGGGTAAAGACAATGAAAGCACAGGGACCCCCCACCCACAAGTCCCCCAAGGACTCCGTAGGGGTCCTGGCTGCTGGTGGGGGGTACGAGGGGGCAGGAGAGAGCAGTTGATCCCAGAGGAGCCTGGGTGTCTTCTTTCATAAAGGAAGCCCTGGGGCCAGTGCTGTGGCGGAGCGTGTTAATACCCTGCCCTGAAGCGCTGGCATCCCATATGGGTACAGGTTCGAGTCCCAGCTGCTCCACTTCTGATCCAGCTCTGTGCTGTGGCCTGGGAAAGCAGTGGAAGATGGCCCAAGTGCTTGGGCCCCTGCACCCACATGGGAGACCCAGAGGAAGCTCCTGGCTCCTGGCTTCAGATCGGCACAGCTCTGGCCCTTGCAGCCAGCTGGGGAGTGAACCATCAAATGGAAGACCTCTCTCTCTCTGTGTGTGTGTGTCTCTGCCACTCCTTTCTCTGTGTAATTCTGACTTTCAAATAAATAAATAAATCTTTAAAAAAAAAAAAAAAAGGAAGCCCTGCTGGGGCTGCCCCAGGACACACTAGATGACGTGCGCTCACATGTGACTGATTGCGGTGATTAACTTAAAACATTGAAAGACCAAGAACAAGTGGGTGCATGCGGATGACAACGACACGCGTGGGGGGCCGGGGGTGCTGCAGGCGGGCCACAGCCTGCACCATCACCAGCCGGGTCCAAGCCCAGCAGCTCGCCCAGATGCGCCCGTCTCAGACCACCTCCTCACACCCTGCTCCCTGGCAGCAGTTACACGACCAGAGCCTGGGCAGCTCTGACCACAGTCCGGCAGAAGGCCGCGGGTACCGGCCAAAGCAGATCCTGACCTCGTGAGGACAACCCAAACGAGGCTCGTTACGGCAGAGGGAGAACCGTATTCCCCCAAAGTGCCAAGGTCGGAGAAAGACAAAGCCCCCTGAGGAAGTGTTCCAGATCTCAGTGCCCACCCTGCACGGCGTCCTGGGACAGCAGGGGCAATGCGGGAACGTGGGTGCCAGCGTCCTGGGGTCCCGCGAGGGGGGAGCTCCGGTCTGGGGAAACGCACGCACAGCAGGATGCAGGGCTGTAGCTCAATGCTTCAGCACTTCCTGCTTGCTGTGGACTCAATGCTGCTGTCAACCCAGAGTTCCCAGGGTGAGAGCATGTGGAGGCGGAGCTTGGGGAGGAAATCAGGTCACGAAGTCAGGCCTCTTGAATGGGATTGGTGGCCAGCGCCACGGCTCACTAGGCTAATCCTCCGCCTGCGGCGCCGGCACACTGGGTTCTAGTCCCAGTCGGGGCGCCGGATTCTGTCCCGGTTGCCCCTCTTCCAGGCCAGCTCTCTGCTGTGGCCAGGGAGTGCAGTGGAGGATGGCCCAAGTGCTTGGGCCCTGCACCCCATGGGAGACCAGGAGAAGCACCTGGCTCCTGCCATCAGATCAGCACGGTGTGCCGGCCGCAGCGCGCTGGCCGCGGCGGCCATTGGAGGGTGAACCAGTGGCAAAGGAAGACCTTTCTCTCTGTCTCTCTCTCTCACTGTCCACTCTGCCTGTCAACAATGAATACTATAAATAGATGGGATTGGTGCCCTCATAAAAGGGTCTGCCACCCCCCCCAACACCATGCCCCAACACGAGGAAGTGTGCCAGGGCGCCAGGAAGATGGCGCTGACCAGACGGCAGCCTGCAGACCACGAGCAGGGTGTCCCTGTTTAGAAGCCCTCCAGCCCACCATCCTCTGCCCCCGATGCTGTTAAAACGTGGGCTTCCGAGGCCTTCCCGCCACTTTTCTGCAAAGATCACACTGCACGTTTCCTTGCCAATGCAAGTGAAACCAGAGGTCCCATTAAACAAGGAAAACAGTAGGACTGGTTCAGAGGGGCAGCTGCAGGCCTGGCGCTGTGGCCCGAGGTCCCTGCCAGACCACCCCAGGCAGGCAGAGCCCAGAGGCCGGAGCCCAGGACGTGGGGCCCAGGTATGCTCGCAGGCACCTGGCCCCGGGAGGCACCTGACTCGCTCAGGGAGAGAGTGGCATCGCCACAGTGCTGACCGGAGTCTGTACCAAGTCATGCAAACGTGCACGCCTGCAACCTGCATACTGTCATCCCGCCAGCCCACTGCTCGAGGCACTCACGACTGGGATGCACAGGTCCTGTGCGCACGCAGGGCTGTGGGTGCAGAGCCCCACCTGCAGGAGGAGGGCAGCGTGCTGTCACCTCCACCTCCACCACCCGCACATCCTCTAACACCTGTCGTGTGCTGCACAGGGTCCAGTTCCGACCTGCTCGGATATGGTGCAGGGGCCCTTAGGTCGCTGAGGTTAAACAAGGTCATCGGGGCAGGGCCTGCTTGCTCCCAGCAGGTGTGGAGAAAAGGCCAGGCCGTCTGCCCGACCTGGATCTGGGACCTCCAGCCTCAGAACCGTGAGAACGTGGTTTCTGCCGTTGAACCCGTCGCCCAAGCCCACCAAGACAACAGCCAAACGATGCTGCTGGGGGAGGCTGGGCTCAGAGCGGTGAGGTCAAGGATTGCCTGACGTCACCAAGCTGCAAAGCTGGTGCCTCCTAGCCTGTTCTCCTCCGGGCTCGGAGAGGTCTGCGGGAACCTTCAATGGCAGCCAGTAATTACCAAGCGCCAGCTGCAGGGCCAGCTCCCGGTCCAGCAAGGGCCGCACGGCCTCGCCGACCCCTCTGTCTGGCAGCGAGCAGAGCCTCGTCAGAAGGCGAAGAACAACAGCGCTGCCCCGGCCCCGGAGACCAGCAAGGCAGCAAGGCGGGTCCTGAGAGCACGGTGAGTGTTCATCTTTCCATCCGATTTACAAGATCCGAAAGCACAAAAACAGAAAACAGAAACGGATCCGAAACTGCCTGTACTCTTTTCCCTACTATACTTTAGAAAATATTTTTTGTAGAGGATAAGCTGCCACCTGCAGCACCAGCATCCATATGGGCACCGGTTCGAGTCCCGGCTGCTCCACTTCCGATCCAGCTCTCTGCTGTGGCCTGGGAAAGCAGTGGAAGAGGGCCCAGCCATGTGGGAGACCTGGATAAAGCTCCAGGCTCCTGGCTTTGACCTGGTCCAGTGCTGGCCATTCAGTCATCTAGGGAGTGTCTCTCTCTATCCTTGCTCCTTCTCTCTGTAACTCTAACTTTGAAAATAAAATTTTTTAAGATTTATTTATTTATTTATTTGAAAGGGTTACACAGAGAGAGAGGAGAGAGAGAAAGGTCTTCCATTTGCTGGTTCACTCCCCAATTGGCTGCAGTGGCTGGAGCTGCGCCGATCCAAAGCCAGGAGCCAGAAGCTTCTTGCCGCTCTCCCACGCGGGTGCAGGGGCCCAAGGACTTGGACTATCCTCCACTGCTTTCCCAGGCCATAGCAGAGAGCTGGATCAGAAGTGGAGCAGCCAGGACTTGAACTAGCACCCATATGAGATGCCAGCACTGCAGGCAGCAGCTTTACCTGCTATGCCACAGAGCTGGCCCCCCAAAATAAATTTAAAAATAAAATTCTTAAAAATGCTTTTTAAGACCCTTTTAACACTGGAGGTCATGTTTACAAGGT